TTTTTTTTGATTTTGACTAACTGATTATAACTTATATCATTATTCAATTGATGTGTGTCAATGTCTGTATGTACGTGTTCAATGCAAAATTATGTCAAATGAATGATCCTTTTTGTATGAATAAAAGATAAAGACAAAGAAAAAAGAGAAAAAAGGGCGCAGAGATGATGCTACTCATCTTCGCCTACATTATGTACATGCACTCACACCTCCTCATACATCTGTGCACACGTTTTGTCTTCTTCTTATTATTACGTCGACATTTTCAAATAGAAAAAGAAAAGACTATTAATCCTTTTCAACGAGATCAATTGTATCGGTAAAAAATCTAACGACGATAAACCACTGATTTTTATAGTACTATTAATAAACTAACACACAAAAAAAACATTTTTTTTTGCAAACAAGTCAAATAACATTATCTTTGAAAAATATATATAGTAATTAGAAATAATTTTATAATATTTGAGATTGATTTTAATAATCATAGTTTGTATATTTTGTAAATCAATCGAAAATTGTTAATGAAAAATTAAATGACAAGTGTTTTTATTGATAGAAATATTTCAATATTGGTATTTAATATCTAATCTAAATTTCATTGATATTTATTTTTATATTTGGTATATGATGTTCAAATAATACATTTTTTTCTTAACCTTAATGGATTAGCTTGTAAGAATGAGAAGAATTCGTTTCTTCTTTTTCATAGTCAAACATGACGATTAAATATGCTATGTATGTGGATTATTTGATAATTGTATTGTTATGAAGTTATGTTCTTTCAATATTATAAAAACTATATGAATACTTCTGTTTAGTCCTAGATATTATAGATTTTATACAAAAAAAATATCAGAATTATTATATGCATTATGATAGATATAATAATACGTTTGATGTTAAATATTTCTAAAATTAATATAATACGCTTTTTTTTCTGATGGAATTGTATTATCAAAGAATTAAAATTTCTTTATTAGGATTTTATCGTAATCGTGTATTAATTAATGTTTGTACTCATTCTTTGTTGTATAGTAGAAACTATAGAAACCTTTAAATTCTTCTATTCATTTTCCGCTATGTTTACAATAGTATTTCTATCCAGACTATTTTTCAATTAAAAAGTAATAGTTTTTAAAAAGGTTCAAGAGTAGACATAGACAGTCTAAAAAAAGAACACAATATATTATAATAATTATAAAAACCACCTACGTGTCTACATAGGTTCGGTTTTATGTTTATTTCATGCAATAGAAAGAGAGAATATCTATGCACATAGATTTACGAAAAAAAATTACCTTTTCATATCTGATCAATATATTATTCATCAAAATGTACTAGTGGTACAAAATATGCATAGAACGAATAAAAAAAATATTTATTAATGATTTAATTTTTTTAAACATATGAGATGAAATTAGTTAAAAGTATTTGATATATATATCATTTTATCATTGAAATATATTTCTATATTCTAATAGTACCCATTTATGTTATAGATGTTTTCGCGGAAAGAAAAAATGTTTTTTTTACGATAAAGTTACAAGTAGCAATGCGTCAAAACATGCCTCGATGTATGCTATGATGTCAGGAATAAAGAAAAACAAGCTACCGACACCCTCATTTTACTCGTATTTCTTTTCTTTTTCTGTATTTTGTTTCTCAATATGTCTCGTCTCGTCTCGACCATGCGGGCGGCTGTCTGTCTAGTCACGAGGACTACAAACCATATTTTCTTTGATATGTATTCATTCTATAGGTAATTAGAAGATAATAAACACAAAATGTCTATAGATATTTGCGAGTACTTATTATGATGAAAAATAGGTATTTATTTTGTTTTATATTCTTATATGAAGGCAGACATAGTTAAATAGATGATTCAGGTAAAAGTTATGTTGAATTGCATTTATGTTATATGTAACGAAATTATTTTCGACGAAATGTGGATTTATGAAGAAAAAATTATATCAGAATATACGTAGAGAGTGAATATATTCTTTATTTTAGATCTTCTCAGGTATTAATTATTTTCTCAGTAAATTTTTTGTGCATATACTTCAAATGTTATGAGTGCATCTGGTATTAATTTTACTGGTCAAAGTGTTACCACCTGTGATAATACATGTATTTTGAATATATCTCAATGGTCACGAGATATAGATCCATTTAGTATACATTCTCTTTGTTCAACTGAAATATTAACAATATCTCAATCTATGTCTTATTCAAGTGATGATTGTAATCCTCGTAAGTATTAAAATTTATCATAAGTTATCAGATTTTAATTGTGTTTTTTTTCTATAGAAAATCCATCAAAACGACAAAAGACAGATATGACATACTCCTGGAGAGAACCAAACGCATTCGCACGTTCTCGTTCTTGTACATTTTCTGATTGGATTCATCCCGAAACATTTAAATCTCGAGTGATTGAAGCTGGATTTTTTAGTTGTAATTTAAAAGATCGAGTTATTTGTATTCATTGCAATCTCATCTGTGAACAATGGAATACTGAACATGATCCATGTGAGGTACATAAAATACTTTCTCCAAATTGTCTATTTGTTAAATCAATGCCTAAATATACTCCATTATCGATCTATGCAAATCCTGAACAACGTTTAGCATCATTTTCTAATTGGTCTAATAAAATATCTTTATCAATAGATAAACTTGCTCATGCTGGTTTCATTTTTGATGGTTCTCAAATCAAATGTTTTTATTGTCATGGCTTATTTAAACATTGTGATTCTATTAACCATCCACTTGTTGAACATATACGATGGTTTCCTTATTGTAATTATGCTAGACAACTATGCGGTGAAGGATTATATTATAAAATTCAACGATCTATAAATACTATGCCAAGTTTGTAAAATTTAAAAAATTTGATAATCAATAGAATTTGAATTTATTTAGTAAATAATCAATTAGAAAATTCATTTGATGAAAATACAATATCACAACATGTTGCTGCATATGTTGATTTACCTAGTTCAAAATATTTAATTAATCAAAAGCAATTTGAACCATCACTTATTCAACGTTGTTTACAAAATCAATTTAGACTTAAAAGTAAACGAACATAGTTGATAAATTTGTTTGAAGTTTTTTTTTATTAATTTAGATAATGGTTTTACTGAGAATACTGATCTCTATATTGCATGTTTAATTTTACAAAAACATGAAAAATTTGGTGAGATAAAAAAAAATATCAAGATTCCAACTGTAGAAATGCAAAAGATATACAGATCAAGACAAATATTGACGAATAATGTTTATCAGTTATTACCTTATACTGGTAAGAAAATTTATATTTAAAGAAAATTCTAATTCTAAATATATAGATATATTAATTTCATTTGAAAATGATCTTCAAGAATATGAAAACCAACGACAAAGTATAGTTTATATTTAAAAAAAATTAAAAAGAAAACTTTTTTATTTATTAGAATTGAGTGAAGAATTTATTGAAGAAAAAAGTATTAGTATTGAACGAGAAAAATCATTACATAAATGGTCATTAATTAACCCATCTCGATATGATATAACTAAAGGAGGTTGGATAATGTATGATAATTATTTTAAATGTCCTCATTGTCATATACAATACAATAATTGGAAATCAGATGATAATCCATTAAATATTCATAAATATCTTTCACCATTATGTTTATTTGTTCTTTCAACAAATCCATTTAATTACGAACGAATATCTATTAAAAAAATGGACGAAGAATTTACTGATGAGTTTATTATTAATGCTGCTTCACAACCATATACTGGTCTTGTTCGAGCGAGACATGAATCTGGTCATACAATCTCAGATCGATTAAATTCTTTTGAACAATTTCCAAATCATGTTTCAAATGATACTAATGAACTAGCAATATCTGGCATTTACTATGACAATCGTACCAAGACTATTAAATGTTTTTATTGTGAATCTAATATGCGTATTATCAATGGAGACTCAAGCTTCACTCAATGTTTTCAACATCTTCATCGTGTATCGAATTGCCATTATATAAAACAAATAAATGATGTCAATTCACATTCATTAAAACAACAACGTAAATTTTTCGAATATAAATCTAGATTATATTACTTTTTTCCTCTTTTTATAGCGTCTAATAAATGTTCATGGTGTATGGTAAATGAAAAACGATTAATGGCTTTACCATGTCGTCATTTTTGTTTATGTGATCAATGTGCACATATTAAACAATTGTGTCCAATATGTCAAATAGAAGTAACAGCTTATGTTATTGTATACTCATCTTAATAATATTATGGATGATATAAAACAAACAAAAAAACTTTGATTAATGGATCAAAGTTCTATATATGTATAGATATCCGGTGCAAAGTTTTTACTGATGATTAAATAATATATTTCATCTTATTTATACTTAGTACATGCGTCCAAGTATTTAATCGCGGTATAAACGAAAAATAACTCAACTAATAATTAGTCATTTTTATGTATTTATTCATGAATTTTACATAAACAATAAAAAATGTTGTAGGGAGGGAGGAAGGAAACAGATTTTTAAAATTAAATACCATAAAGATATACAAACACTACATAAATGTTAAATATGACTCATGAAAAAAATGATTGCTTCTTTTCTTTCTCATATAGATTTTACTAGTACTCCTAAATGTCAATTCAGTCAAAATATTGAATGATAAAAATATTCCTGGATTTTTTACTGATTAACTGATTGTTTAAAAATTATTCTACCGTGCCTTGACGTAGAGTAGTGAGCACATATTTGAATAGCATTAAAATATAGTTAGTAAAAACAAATGGGTGTCATTTAAGTGGTCAGTAGAATAAATAAAACGGTCAGTAAAACAAAAAATTCAAAAATCAATAGACTTATTGAATGGTCAGTAAAGTAATGGTTGATCAGTGAATTATTAAAATGGTCAGTAATTAATTTGATAGATCCACAATAAAATTTAAACGATCAGTAAATAAAATGAAATGGAAAGTAAAAAAATATAACTTGTACAAAGATGTACTACTTTTCTTTTTTTTACTGACAAAAATCATATTTTTTCACTGCTACTTCCGCAAAATCTACTGACCATTTTTGAATTATTTATTGATTTTTTTGAAAACTGACCAATTAATATATTTACTGATATTCTAATTATTTTACTGACCGCAGAACATATTCCCAAAACAAATCAAATCGGTTAGAATAAAAGCTATGAATATTTCAATATTTGTTGCTTTTGTCCTATTAACTGGGATGTCAGTAACACACAATAACAGCAAATGCGCACGTGGAGAAAGTGAAAGAAATATTAGACAAAACAAAATGTAAATATTTCCGAAAAATAGCAAGTGCTTTGAAGGTAGTCTCTTTTTAGATATCGTTTGTTATGCTTATATAGAACTAAATAAAAACTATCAAGACAATCCAATGAAAATAGAAAATATTCATCTGATTTTCTGCTACAGATGATATATTTGCATATGTTCATTACTCTAAACAAAGACATGATAGAATGAACTTTAAATATACACTTAGAGCGTTTCTCATTTTTTCAAAATATATGTTGCAGGAGAAATTAAAATCGAGGAGAATTTGAAATTCCCCCCAGGGGAAATTAAGATTTTAATCTCTCCTAGGGCAAATTAAAATTCTTTTTTTTCCTATGATTTTTCTGAGAAAAATTCAAGATTTTAACTTCTCCTGTAACATATATGTTAACATAAAAAATGAAGAAATATTTATGCAGAAGTTCTCCATTATTTGTCATGCGATTCGTTTACTATATAATTATTGAAAAGTTAATTAAAAGATTACATAAAAAAAAATAATATCCAATGAACATTTTAATCATATATTCTGATTAATCCTTTAATATTTGATCCACATGTTGGACAAGACTTTAAACTATGACCACATGGTACACATACATTAAAATGACCACAAGGCACAAGTCCCAGTGCTCGCTGCCTTTCGAAACATACAATGCACAAAGTACTACTTGATGTTGAAACCTGTTGCGATTGAGATGATGGTTTATTTTCAATATTAGGTGTCTTATTATCATCCATACACATACACTTATATATGTGTATAGTCAAGCTCTAGAAATAGAAAATAGTTTAATAATAATATAGTACATGCAGAAAGGAATTGCCAATGTAATATAGGTTCAGTGGGAAGCTGTTCGTCGAAAATTGCTAGAATAATAACAGATTGCTACTCCAGACATTTTCGACGAATTATTTGTCAACAAAATTTTCTTCCACGAATTACTCATTGAAAACTTCAACGAACAATCCACTTGACGAATGACTACTTTCTCTGTAGTTCTATCAATAAATGAATCGTAATTAGATACATACTTGTCCGATTTTTGTGACTGATTCATATCAATTAAACTCTCTATTCTATCGATTAAAAATTTTATATATATTATCGGGAAAAAATGAGTACTATTAGGTAATTGATCATGATATCGATATGAAAATCATGATTTTGATACGATTGAGAACGAAAAGTAATTAAGAGCGTTCTGTCATTATTTCGTATGACTCATTCTTTACTATACCTTCCAACTTGGAAAATTCCAACTAGAATATAATTTAATTCCTACATGATATGTGATACTTATTGTATCGATTGGGTTCACATTTACCAATCAAAACTTTTTTTAATATTTTAAATATATCTACTTATTGTATAAAATTACTTTTCTTGATTTTTTTCTTGTCAGTTTTAGAAAAGTTCAAATGAACATAAAATATAACAAGATGTCAGTTCAAATATTTTTTCTCACTATTGTTTAAATAAATTCTTTTTCTAAAAAAGAATTATTGATATTTCTGTTATAAATTTAATAATTAAAAGTATTCTTAACCAACACCGAAATGAAGGTAATATGACGAGTTAAGATAATTCATTATTATCATGTTTATATACAAGTAAATCTTCTGATGTTTTCCAATACTATAATAGACAAAAGTTGAATTATTCTCATTTTATAACTTTGTACTGTCTGATCAGAAGGTCAGACATTCATATTAGTTTTTTTTTTCATTCATCACTTCTTATTGATTTATTTCTAATCACATTTATAGTCTAGATCACTAAAACGATTTTACTAATCGTTAATTTTTTTTTTGATGATTCATAATGCATTAAACAAAAACTAGTGAAATATCTTTAAAAAATCACTATAACAAATAATCTTTTGAATAACAAAAGAAAATAAACGGAAATTAGGAAAAAAATGAAACAACAATAATAACAACCAAAACATATTCATTATTGTTATCATGAAGATAATTTCGTCAAAACATCAAAAGCACCTGTACCACATTTAACCATACGTCCAGTTACTAAACGTGATGATGGAGATTTTAAGTCTTCATGTTCACCTAAACAAAAAAATAATAATAACGTTTGTCCATTTTTGAAAGGCTTAAAACAGTGGTTTATCCCGCGGGGGGGGAGACGGGGCTTTTTGCTCTCTCGGGGGGTGTCCCTCCCCCCCCCCCCCCCCCCCAAGAGAGATTTTTACCGTCCCGGCAGTTAATTTCGCACCCTCGGACGAAAAAAGCTAGATAAAACACTGGCTTAAAAAGATAATTTGAACAAAAAATTGTCGAGCTTTAACCTCTAGTTTAAAAATAGTTTCAATACAACGTTATTTACCATGTAATAATGCTTCTTTTAAATAAGATGTTGATGTTTCAAATGTTATTTTTTGTAATGGACTTGCATTTGTTCTTAAACCTAAACGATTACATGGTTTATAAACACCTTCATATGTCATATAATCTGCTAATAAAGATAAATGTCTATAATCAACTTCAATTCCATAAGCACCGAATACACGATTTATTTCACGTATTAATGTACGATTAGCTGCTTCAATACCAAATATTTGTGCCATACGATGTATATTATTTGTATATATTCGACATAAATCAAATACTTGATAATATGTCATTAATGCATTGATATTTTCACCTTCAGTTGATAGAATATATTCAGTATCATCTGAATCTGCTTTAGTTTTTCCACGATATTCTTTATTTTCTGATATAAAACAATTTTGAATACCAACTATAGATGTTATAGTTGTTCGAGATGCTTCATGACGTATTAATGATTCGAGATCAATACGAGGTTGTGTAGCAGGAAATATCATAGTTAAACGACACCATAAATTATTATCAAGATCAGCAGTATATTCATGAATATAATCGGCATGTTTACAAACATTCTAAATAAAGAATATGAAAATTTTGTTTTTGTTTTTAGTATATACATACACCGAATCGTTCGTTGTAAGTGTTATTTCCATTTTTTGTAGTTTTCTCATGGCTTTTTCTGGCTTTTTTACTTGGTGGTTCATCATCATCATTGTTATTACTTGGCACTTCTTGTTCATCATTATCATTTGCTTCTTCTTTGAATGTATCCAATGCTATTCAAAATATTAGAGAATTGTATATATATTCATTCGACTCTGTAAGATTTAAGAGAAAACTAAGACGTAGATTTACATATCTAGTTTAACATATTAAAGATATGCATTAAGGCTATACTTTTTGTTGATAAATATTTCAATGCTACATCAAAAACTCTCAGTATAATTCGTTAACTATGAATGAATATGATCGATTAATACTATTATCTAATATCAAGTTTTTAAGTAGAATAAAAGCCTGATATATAAAGTCATCAACGACTATTTGTCTCGGAACATCCGTTCTTCTGACTAGTATGTGGTTAGTCAGCGCACGGGAAGCGTAAGTAATAAAACGAAAGAAAAATTGGGTTTACGAAACTGCTTCCGAACAGTACCCTATACTGTAAAGTACCCGACAGGCAAGGGAATTCTTTCTTTAATATCTATCAATAATGAATATTGATATACAGAATAAAGTAATCATCTCTGAATTTACACATTCTATATCAATCTCAGAAGCTTTTGCTGATATGTTTTGAAACTTGAGAATCTTAATCTATCTTTACCTTGTACATCATCATCGTCATCAATAATATCTTGTTTAATACTAATTTTTGATGCAGTTAACTGATCATTATCATCTGGATTATCGTGCATAGGTGCTTCATCATCAGTACCATTTTCTTCATTATTATTATTATCATCATCATCATCGTATTCTTTTTCATCATTTCTATTTGATTTTTCTTTAGCTGTATTAGCTTCTCCATTAGCTTGTTCATCATCGTCATCATCATCATCGTCATCTTTTTCCATTGCTTCTTGTTGATCATCTTT